GTCGCCAGCAGCCGCACACGCGTGCCGACACTGCCCGCCGTGCGCCAGTGCGCAGCAAGTCTTGCCCCACCACCCGGATCCCGAAACTACTTCTGCCCCACCAAAACACAGCATTAAAATCCTTGTACAAAATTAAACTTGCTTCTAAAACTCCTTTCAGATAAGGTTATGAAACAAAAACAATCTAAAGACGATTTACTTGAGATGAAAAAGTGCCTGATCTTTTAATCAGTATGTAATGAAGTAGGGAATATTTTTCTTACCTTGAATAGTTTGATTCATACATATCCAGAATTCGATCTGTAAAAAAACATAATAATCAACTGATAGTACCTTTACCCCTGGTTTCGTATTTTGTGCTAGGCTATTACGCAGTGGTAACTCGATAATGCGGCCCATACGTAACCTAATACCGATGTAAAGACATCCCCAATTACAATACAATACCGATAGGCGGTTTATTGACGATTGAAAAAAACCACTTTTCTGTGAAAGCGAACTCAATAAAATGAATGTAAGGTATCACCTTACCGAGTCCCTCTTCGATTCCAATTGTCTAAATTCATTGCAATTACGAATCTTTGTACCTCTAAAGTTTGCTGCGGAAATATTATGGGTTCTACACGGACTTAGAGTTAAATGGGGAGCATAAACATTTTCGTTACTTACTAAATCAGGTGTACAAAACTTATAAATGTTTTGTATTCTCTCTTCACGAATACTTGAGCCCAGTGACATCTGAAACGAAGAAAACAAAATTAATCCTGGACATCAAACAGAACGATTTCATAATACCCCTTAATTTATTTGATCCAGCGATTTATTATCTGTGCTTATAATCATCAAAGACTAGGGTAACTTTGATGCGTTACGAGTAGCAACGTATAAATCATGACACTTCCCTATAATTCATTTACATTTTAAACATTTTAAATTAAGCGTATAAACGATGACAGAAACTCTAAACATCATTACATTGTTTACGTTAGTTATAATTTATTATCTCTTCTTATAGCGCACGTGTCTGCAATCAGTAAGCCAGTGGAACACAACTGTGATGACAGTTGCTTTATTAATGGTCAGTTCGATCAGGATATGAATAACCTTAGAAAAACCTAGCATGGCTAAGTACCTCATGTTTTCCCCTTTTATCTGATGACCGAGTGCCTCATCAAAATGCCCGTCACTGAAAAGAACGTCTGAAATGTTTTTATTTTTCTTGTATGCATCCTCGGTTGAACAGTTAATTAATCAGATTTTTATTTGAATTACTACTGATGTTCATGAAATTAAACGATCTTAAATCATAAGACACATGTGTCCTTTGGACAACATTAGAATCGTCCGATGAAATTAATTGACACAAAAACAAGTCGACTCCCTTCTCGGGTTTCTAATTACTGTGCGCGGCTAAATTTGTGTTTCATTATGTGAGAGATACTATAATTAACTCGAAACTCGTCGCATGGACTGATTACAAATACACAAATATTTTTCGTTATTTTCAGATCGTCACCACAACTTATTAGTCATTCGTCTACATCAGTATTGGTGGTTTAATGCAAAAATTGTTCTATGTATACTAATATAATAAAGCGTAAACACACGCTTTGTTGCCTAAGATGTCAGCAGTTACAGCATATTTTTGAATAATTCTTTTTTTAATAAAAAGCCCTACTTACATTACGCTTTAGGCTACATATTTTCGCGCCACTAAACTTATAGGTAAAAATATTTTGGATAAAAACCCTAATGTGGGAAAAAGACTATAAGTTGCTGCCAACATCAAGAAATCAAGGTTGCCATCGTTTGACATCATGTCATGTCATTTTGACATTTGCAATTGATAATTTGACAAATGTAAACAATAAAATGAAATTTTTATAATTTCATGCGGATGAAGCCGCACGGGAACATTACATTCTACATAAAATGTTCTAATTGAACATTCAAACTGTTCTGTAGGCAAAATTTTAACTATCAGTTGCACTGTAAAGGTAGAAATGAGCGACTACGCCGGCTTTAGTGTTAAATTATAAAACTGGCAATTCTTATTTACAACTATGCTTCGATATTAATCCGAACTGACATGGGTCACCTAGTCCTGATAGTCTTATTTAATTCTTGTTTCAATGTGTTCTCGTTATTAGTCATTCGTGATGTAGGAAAATGTAAAGGTCAGTAACTAAAGAGATAGTATTGCTTTTAAAACTTTGTAATGCGTTTACGTCGCCAGTTGCCTGTTATCTAGGCTTCTTATCAGGACGAGTGTAAAAAAGGTTATCGCGCATTTGCTCCGGAATCCGATAATAAGATGAATATTATTATTTTAGGAACTTATTTACGTCCTTTATCAACATTTCGGTAATTAATTTAAAATTACAGAATAATTACGAAGCGAAGGGAAATAATACATAACTTCCCTATTAACAATAACTGCGTTTATCAACATAATTTTGTTACGTAAACATTGTGTTTATCAAAATTGAAAAAAAAATCGAAACGAAAGATATCATTTCTTTATTTTTTACTAAGTAATTTAACTCTTGCAAGCCCGATAGTATTCTAAACTATGTAATAGCACACAATAATAACTATAAATATGCAAATATATTCAAAATCAACGCGTAGGTTGACTTATTGTTTTATAGTCGATCATGAGTTACTTTTTGTGCATGGCTTGTAAAACAATGAGATCTTCTAATTTGTACCTACATTACAAACATGGACCTCCATTGTGATTGTGACTCGGCCGCTGACAGAATAAGTTCACAAGTGAATGTTAAGTTCAGTCATATTCATAACACTTCATCGATTAACCTTCCGACAAGTATCTGAACCTTAGGGTAGGTCTACACTGGCGCGAATGTACTTCTCATAAAGTAAAATGAACAACCAAGAAATAGTAAAAATCATCATCCTCCTCCTTATCGTACTTCCTTAGGGTCGGCGCAAAAGCATATGGTAAGCAATAATCAGTAGTTAATTCCCATTACAATTCCACATTTACTGTGTTTTTTTTAATAGTTTTTGAATTTCATATAGACGCTGCCAGTTATCGCAGTTTTTTTTAATGAAAGGAACTACCACTTATACGAGTGCATAAGTGGTAGAGACAAAGATATATAGTACTAATGTACGATATAGTAATAAAACAGCAAATGCAAAAAATGAATGTAACTAGTGTAACCGACCCTTAACTCTATAGCTGTCGGAACAATGATCATTGTATACAAATCAGATGTCGTTAAAACAAGTCTAATTCATCCGCAACACGGCCCATAAGAGAACATTGTTTGTACTCACAGTGCCTTTTGCTTAATTAATGCATTACAGTGCAAGTTGCTATTGTGAATAGAAGATTACTAGACTTACGGCCTAAAACAATCGATCAGAAAATGGTTTTAATTATTCTCGCCATTGTTTACATCAGATCGAGTTTTTTGGTTTTAGTTTTTGCTATCTTTAGACAGGTTAATCGTAAACCAAATTGACTCAATATGTGAATTAAAATAGCATATATAAGCAAAAATGTTTCGATATCGAAGATAGGCTTCGATTGTTCTCATCGATATACTCAAGGTCATTTAGAACAGAACAGTATGTACCAATGTACCTGAACAAGGAAGTCGCCGTGCATACAATACTTTACATCAGTGTATCAGTATTCAAGACAGTAACGCGTGAGAATCTAACATCGGAATACATTTACCACATGTCCACGCACTGGCAGATGATTGCGAGACGATAATAAAATGTATGCTGTTCACACGCAGAAAGCAATCGGTTCGAATGCATCTACTGCAAGTGGCGGCACCAACGCACTGACAATTTGTAAAACATTCGCATATAAAAATTCATGTGTTATGTTAGTTAAAAACAAAAAATACTATAATTATTGTTCTTATTAATTACTTTTGTTTTAATTCTATTAGGTACAATGCGGTAGTTACTGATTTTTTTTTTCAGAACGTGCGTTAAAAAAAACTACGTTGTACAAACGTAATGTTTCTAATAAAAACGACAAACATTATTCTTTTACATAAAATAAAAATAACTACGTTCTTTAACTTTATACGTATTTGATCAAATTCCCAGTCACAAATAAAACCAAATAACAAAGTTCATCTCAACATTCTGTTACAAAGTCTCGTTCCATATGTACGAGGTAGCGTTGCAAACGAATAGATATTTACTTGTATAAGCTATTGACGTGGGCCGGGGTAAAGGAAACCGAAATGAAATCGTTACTAAACGACCACCGATCCTCTGGCGTTTGATTGAAAAAGCCAAAAGATATAAAAAAAAGCCTGTTTTATTATTTACTTTAATAAATTCCCTAACTTGTTCCTTTGTTGAGAAATGTAACTGATTGAGCAAAATTTAGAGTTAGGTATAGTTTAACATTTGTAATATAAAATTAAACAGATATTCAGTAAAGAGTTGCATCTAAAATGATCACAAGTATAAAGAAGAATGTGGCATTTAATAATTCAATATGGGACGGGCACAACCAAAATAAGCGTGAGTTTATTTTTAATGTCTCCGGCATTCGAAAACGTATCTTATTATTCAATAGTCGGCGGCCATTTGTCAAGAGACAGTATAAAGCGTAGGTTTGGTATCGGCGGGCTATAAGAGGTGGTCTCATATTAGCATGGAGACAATCGTAGGGGATGTTGACATCATTGGCATTGACACGTCGGCAGTCGACACGTCCTGTGTGGAACGTGCGCCGAATCCTGCGGACGACTTATGCTTCCTAGAAATGCTTTCATATTATGTTATAACCTAAACACGTTTTCGATTCTATGATTGTTTTATTTTCTTATAAATTTTTACCTTTATTAAAACCGTCGACGGCAAGTTACCGTAAAACTGTTAATATTTCATAATGAATTTGATTACAATATGGTTTTAAATCTAAAGTAGTTTAAAAGTCCTAGTTATTATTTCTGAAAACATCATTTGTTCAAAACTATCTCTCTTAAAATCTCGGTCAAATAAAAACAATAAATAGTTAATATTTTTGGCTATAATAATAAAATTAAGCGAGAAAAACTTTAACTACCGTTTTTGCATTTGCCAATTTGAAAGTTTAGAGTTAGGGGCCAGATGGTCTACAATCTACGCTGACATTTTCAATAGGCTAGACGTGAAAATTCAAATGGAGGAAAATGGTACTTTCTTGCGTACCAGGAAAAAAGTTTCGCTTACTGCAGATACAAGTGAAATAGAAAATTGGCAAATCGGGTACAGTTTCCAAACTCGACTTTTACTATTTCACGAGAAACCTTTGATTTGGAAATTCAATACTTTTTCATTTAGAAAGTTCTAAAATTGTATTCAAAGAATGCTTTGTAAAAGTAAATTGACATTAATTAAAAAAATAAAAAAAAACATTTCATCACTTTGAATTCTTCTGTCGTTCTTAGTTTCCATAAATACTTGGATAAAAAGCAGGATGTAATAATAATTAGACAACTATCAAATAATAGTAAATAATGCCTACCAGTCTCTAGGGACAAAATCAGAAATGTTAACTAAGTTAGGAAACACCTAAAATAAACAATAGGTCTATTACTATTCTCTACACGTCTAGTGCGTCCATTTTGATTGCATAATAGTAATCATTTTGGACACGTTAATACTTAACGCAGTTACTATATGTAGATTTCCGCTACTGGGTGGTATATTTTTATACTTTTTTGTACACTCAATAACATATATTATTATTA